GCCAATTGGACAGATGACACCAGTAGGACAGACTTGGGTGACGCCAGTAGGACAGATGACGCCAGTAGGACAGATGACGTCAGTAGGACAGATGACGCCGGTAGGACAGATGACGCCAGTAGGACAGATGACGCCAGTAGGACAGATGACGCCAGTAGGACAGATGACGCCAGTAGGACAGATTTGGATGACGCCAGTAGGACAGATGACGCCAGTAGGACAGATTTGGATGACGCCAGTAGGACAGATGACGCCAGTAGGACAGATGACGCCAGTAGGACAGATGACGCCAGTAGGACAGATGACGCCAGTAGGACAGATGACGCCAGTAGGACAGATGACGCCAGTAGGACAGATGACGCCAGTAGGACAGACTTGGATGACGCCAGTAGGACAGATGACGCCAGTAGGACAGATGACGCAAGTAGGACAGATGACGCCAGTAGGACAGATGACGCCAGTAGGACAGATGACGCCAGTAGGACAGATGACGCCAGTAGGACAGATGACGCCAGTAGGACAGATGACGTCAGTAGGACAGATGACGCCAGTAGGACAGAATACGCCAGTAGGACAGATGACGCCAGTAGGACAGATGACGCCAGTAGGACAGATGACGCCAGTAGGACAGATGACGCCAGTAGGACAGATGACGCCAGTAGGACAGATGACGCCAGTAGGACAGATGACGCCAGTAGGACAGACTTGGATGACGCCAGTAGGACAGATGACGCCAGTAGGACAGATGACGCCAGTAGGACAGATGACGCCAGTAGGACAGATGACGCCAGTAGGACAGATGACGCCAGTAGGACAGATGACGCCAGTAGGACAGATGACGCCAGTAGGACAGATGACGCCAGTAGGACAGACTTGGATGACGCCAGTAGGACAGATGACGCCAGTAGGACAGATGACGCCAGTAGGACAGATGACGCCAGTAGGACAGATGACGCCAGTAGGACAGATGACGCCAGTAGGACAGACTTGGATGACGCCAGTAGGACAGATGACGCCAGTAGGACAGATGACGCCAGTAGGACAGATGACGCCAGTAGGACAGATGACGCCAGTAGGACAGGTGACGCCAGTAGGACAGATGACGCCAGTAGGACAGATGACGCCAGTAGGACAGATGACGCCAGTAGGACAGATTTGGATGACGCCAGTAGGACAGATGACGCCAGTAGGACAGATGACGCCAGTAGGACAGATTTGGATGACGCCAGTAGGACAGATGACGCCAGTAGGACAGATGACGCCAGTAGGACAGATGACGCCAGTAGGACAGATGACGCCAGTAGGACAGATGACGCGAGTAGGACAGATGACGCCAGTAGGACAGATGACGCCAGTAGGACAGACTTGGGTGACGCCAGTAGGACAGATGACGCCAGTAGGACAGATGACGCCAGTAGGACAGATGACGCCAGTAGGACAGATGACGTCAGTAGGACAGATGACGCCAATTGGACAGATGACGCCAGTAGGACAGACTTGGGTGACGCCAGTAGGACAGGTGACGCCAGTAGGACAGATGACGCCAGTAGGACAGATGACGCCAGTAGGACAGATGACGCCAGTAGGACAGATGACGCCAGTAGGACAGATGACGTCAGTAGGACAGATGACGCCAATTGGACAGATGACGCCAGTAGGACAGACTTGGGTGACGCCAGTAGGACAGGTGACGCCAGTAGGACAGATGACGCCAGTAGGACAGATGACGCCAGTAGGACAGATGACACCAGTAGGACAGACTTGGATGACGCCAGTAGGACAGATGACGCCAGTAGGACAGACTTGGTTGACGCCAGTAGGACAGATGACGCCAGTAGGACAGATGACGCCAGTAGGACAGATGACGCCAGTAGGACAGATGACGCCAGTAGGACAGATGACGCCAGTAGGACAGATGACGCCAGTAGGACAGACTTGGGTGACGCCAGTAGGACAGACTTGGGTGACGCCAGTAGGACAGATGACGCCAGTAGGACAGATGACGCCAGTAGGACAGATGACGCCAGTAGGACAGATGACGCCAGTAGGACAGATGACGCCAGTAGGACAGACTTGGGTGACGCCAGTAGGACAGATGACGCCAGTAGGACAGATGACGCCAGTAGGACAGACTTGGGTGACGCCAGTAGGACAGATGACGCCAGTAGGACAGATGACGCCAGTAGGACAGATGACGCCAGTAGGACAGATGACGCCAGTAGGACAGATGACGCCAGTAGGACAGATTTGGATGACGCCAGTAGGACAGATGACGCCAGTAGGACAGATTTGGATGACGCCAGTAGGACAGATGACGCCAGTAGGACAGATGACGCCAGTAGGACAGATGACGCCAGTAGGACAGATGACGCCAGTAGGACAGATGACGCCAGTAGGACAGATGACGCCAGTAGGACAGATTTGGATGACGCCAGTAGGACAGATGACGCCAGTAGGATAGATGACGCCAGTAGGACAGATGACGCCAGTAGGACAGATGACGCCAGTAGGACAGATGACGCCAGTAGGACAGATGACGCCAGTAGGACAGATGACGCCAGTAGGACAGATGACGCCAGTAGGACAGATGACGCCAGTAGGACAGATGACGCCAGTAGGACAGATGACGCCAGTAGGATAGATGACGCCAGTAGGATAGATGACGCCAGTAGGACAGATGACGCCAGTAGGACAGATGACGCCAGTAGGACAGATGACGCCAGTAGGACAGATGACGCCAGTAGGACAGATGACGCCAGTAGGACAGATGACGCCAGTAGGACAGATGACGCCAGTAGGACAGATGACGCCAGTAGGACAGATGACGCCAGTAGGACAGATGACGTCAGTAGGACAGATGACGCCAGTAGGACAGATGACGCCAGTAGGACAGATGACGCCAGTAGGACAGATGACGCCAGTAGGACAGATGACGCCAGTTGATATAGATGACGATTGACTACGCAGCCAATTCACCTTTTGCTTGCCTATACTACTAAGATTATTGACTATAGACATGGAGGTTTACTATTTTTTGATTTGGCATTTATTTATTTTGAAACACTTTTTTAAAGAAGCTTTTCAATTCAAGGGGGTAAAAAACATCTTAATCAATTAATATAGTGTTTGTATTGATTTGTGTGTATCGATGTGTAGGGTACTTGAAGGAAAATATGTGTAAGCAGCAGGGTCTTTTCTGAAAGTATGGTTGCCATGGCAACGGCGGCCATATTTAAAAAAAAAACAATACCTATTTGTTCATATCTTACTTAAACCAATGTAATTTCCCTCTTTAGCATAATCTTAGCCTGGCCTACCTGTGTTGATTAGCGATGTGGTTTTGGGCTATTCTTTATTTTAAGACCACCACTATAGATACAGCCATTTTCACAGGTAATCTTTTTAGCCAGTTATGTTAATATGGCTATCATCTTTATTCTGGCCAATATCTACTCCCCTGGCCATCGTCTTTATTCTGGCCAATTTATGTTCTCATGGCCATCGTCTTTGTTCTGGCCTATTGCCATTCCCATGGCCATTGTCTTTATTCTGACCAATCTGGTCTATTCCGGCCCATATCAATTTCTTCACTCAACATTTTAATTCTTGACTCGACGTTCGCCTCTTTAGACAAACTACCAACAGTTTACCCCGGACCATCTCGATTACTTCACCCAACATTTTAATTCTGGACTCGACGCTCGCCTCTTTAGACAAACATTCAGAGAAAACGAGAACCAACTCTACGATGTTGTTGCAGGCAGCACCACGCTGTTGTTGCAGGCAGCTCTGGGCCCTTGGTACCGCTACTGACGTCGGTCCTGAACGATATCTCCTGACCTGTTGACCCCGGGTGGCACCAGGTTCATGAAAATACCCGGCCCGCCCCACCTGCCTACGTTAGGGTCAACGCGAGTAAACCTGTGTTTAGATTCACGTTGGACTCTTGTTTGTGTAAACGGCGCACTTTTTTTTCAATAAAAAATTTTTGTCCAGCAATCGAGACACGTATCTGGCTAATTTTCCAGACGTTTGAATCGTCAGTTGAGTACCGCCAGGTCATAGAGAGGCCGTCTACTTTAAAATTGCCCTACATCATTCTAAAAAATTATTTGGCCGTCTATAGGTCTATCTAGGTAATATGTCCTCGTTTGAATATCGATGGCGTCTGTATTAATGTTTAATTGGTAATTGAATATTTATTTGCGTCTGTTTATAAAAAGAAAGAAAAACAATCTCATTTGTTTTTTGTTTTTCTTCCAAACTCTGGTTTTATTGGTGAGTAATAGAGGTAGTTTTAGGATTTGTGTTAGAGGTGTATAGTTGATGTGTAGTTGATGTGTAGTTGAGGTGTGTAGTAGGTGTGTAGTTGAGGTTTGTTATAAGTGTGTAGTATGTGTGTACTTAAAGTGTGTAGTAGATGCCTAGTACAGGAATGTTAGAAGACTAAGTATTAAAAATGTATTTTATAAAGTTTGTAGATGGAGGGAGTTGTTGAGGTGTGTAGCAGAAGTATGTAGTAGCGGTGAGCAACAAAGATGTGTAGTTGAGGTGTGTAGTTGAGGTGTGTAGTTGAGGTGTGTAGTTTAGATGTGTGGGTGAGGTGTGTAGGTGAAATGTGTAGTTGAAGTGTGTAGTTGAGATGTGTAGTTGAGGTGTGTAGTTGAGGTGTTAATTTAAGTTTTAATGGCATGAAATCAACTAACCGTGTAGGGTGAAATCCAAAGATAAACATACACATAGTGTTTTTTTGTTTTGTTTTTAAACTGTAAAACAGTTATCACGTTTAAATCAACCCTAGGATAGTCTGAATACGACCAACCTACACAAAAATGATCTTTATCGCCTCATAAACAAGTAAACAAAATACAAAAACAAAGATTTACAAATATAACGTAAAAGTGCAGACGCTATTATTTATTTGTTTGTTTACATTATACCAAACCCCACTTCCTGTATGGGCAGACAACTCACTTTCCTGTTGACATCTGTTTCATCAGGTCATTGACAGGGGAAGGTAACTTCAACTGGAGGTTTTTGTTTCCCTTTGACTACCTAGTGGCTGAGGAGAAAATCGTCATCTCGCGAAAGGAGACTTTGTTCTCGTGGGACGAGACCGAGTCCAAGGTCCCGGCCCGCCTCAATCTGCAGGTCTGGGACGCTGACCACTTTTCTGCTGACGACTTCTTGGGTTGGTTTATTTCCCTTGCATTTCTTTTTGTTTCTACTGTCTTACAGTGATTACCTCCCATATATTCCACTATTCATTTAAAATATTTTAAATAGGCACAATATTATACATTTTAAATATAATACATATTTTTAATTTAAATTCGTTAATATTTAAAATAAATATACAGTGTCTTCCTTCTATTTCTCTGTGCTACAATGATTACCTCCCTTACATTAGAGAAAAAAATGTTAATTTAAAATTGATAAAATGAAATTAAAAATAAGCGGGGTAACTTTTAATTTTTTTAAAACATTAATTTTATTCTTTGCCTATTATGGAAACAATGTCTACAACTTTAAGCTTTCAAATAAAAATAAATATTTTTAAAAAAAAACCTAATACTTTGATGAATTCTGGGGAATTTTTATATGTAAAAAGAGGAAAAAATAACGAAAGTTTCCCAAAGAATCTAAACGGGTGAATGTTTTAAAAAGTTATGTTAAATAAAACATATGAAGTTTTTTCGAAGTTCTGAATATCCATTTTAAAATATTTTAAGGCGCTGTAAATTACATGTCTAAGGCGAAAAAAAAAAAAAAAAAAAAAAAAACATAAACTAAATGGGTTTTTATAAGAGGCGTAAATTTAAGTGTAATTGGTGTGGTCAATTGAAGACTAGTTTTATCTGGATAAAGTAAAACTAATAGCTACTATACATATATGATGTGAAATCCCCTTTGATTTTCGTAATTATTTTCTTTTTTGTTCAAGAAAAGGCTGTTGCTCGTATGTGTTGCAATGGGTAGGAATTTCTGCTAGGAAGTAAAGTTCCCCTTTCAAACCTGACGGTCTATGGGGCAAGTGAAGTAGAGTTCACCTGCTGCTGCGACCTCGGTTTAGGGGTCATCCATTTATAACGTCCACATTTTTTTTTGGATTTTGGACCCCCTCTCTCTTCCCCCCCCCCTCGGTCAACAAAAATCTATAATTTATTTCCCTTATAAAAGTCCATACGTGTCCGCAAAAGTCAACTTTTACCTACAAGATTCACCTGTCACCAAACTTACCTTTTCCTCAGGTTCCTTGACCCTTGACCTGAACCGGTTCCCCCGGGGCGCCAAATCCTCCAAGCTGTGTACCCTGGACATGCTGAAGACGGACGGGTCGGTGCCACAGATGTCTCTGTTTAAACACAAGAGGGTCAAGGGCTGGTGGCCATTCCACGTCAAGAACGAGGGCAGTGATGAGCTCGAGCTGACGGTAAGGCTACTACCCCATCCCATCTTCTACTGCCCCATCCCATCTTTTACTGCCCCATCCCATCTTCTACTGCCCCATCCCATCTTCTACTACCCCATCCCATCTTCTACTACCCCATCCCATCTTCTACTGCCTCATTCCATCTTCTACTGCCCCATCCCATCTTCTACTGCCCCATCCCATCTTCTACTACCCCATCCCATCTTCTACTGCCCCATCCCATCTTCTACTGCCCCATCCCATCTTCTACTGCCCCATCCCATCTTCTACTGCCCCATCCCATCTTCTACTGCCCCATCCCATCTTCTACTGCCCCATCCCATCTTCTACTGCCCCATCCCATCTTCTACTGCCCCATCCCATCTTCTACTGCCCCATCCCATCTTCTACTGCCCCATCCCATAGAAGTACTGCCCAATCCCATCTTCTACTGCCCCATCCCATCTTCTACAGCCCCATTTCATTTTCTACTGCCCCATTCCATCTTCTACTGCCCCATTCCATCTTCTACTGCCCCATCCCATCTTCTACTGCCCAATCCCATCTTCTACTGCCCCATCCCATCTTCTACTGCCCCATTTCATCTTCTACTGCCCCATTCCATCTTCTACTGCCCCATCCCATCTTCTACTGCCCCATCCCATCTTCTACTGCCCCATCCCATCTTCTACTGCCCCATCCCATCTTCTACTGCCCCATCCCATCTTCTACTGCCCCATCCCATAGAAGTACTGCCCAATCCCATCTTCTACTGCCCCATCCCATCTTCTACAGCCCCATTTCATTTTCTACTGCCCCATTCCATCTTCTACTGCCCCATCCCATCTTCTACTGCCCCATTCCATCTTCTACTGCCCCATCCCATCTTCTACTGCCCCATTCCATCTTCTACTGCCCCATCCCATCTTCTACTGCCCCATCCCATCTTCTACTGCCCCATCCCATCTTCTACTGCCCCATCCCATCTTCTACTGCCCCATCCCATCTTCTACTGCCCCATCCCATCTTCTACTGCCCCATCCCATCTTCTACTGCCCCATCCCATCTTCTACTGCCCCATTTAATCTTCTACTGCCCCATCCCATCTTCTACTGCCCCATCCCATCTTCTACTGCCCCATCCCATCTTCTACTGCCCCATCTTATCTTCTACTGCCCCATTCCATCTTCTTCAGCCCCATTCCATCTTCTACTGCCCCATCCCATAGAAGTACTGCCCCATCCTATAGAAGTACTGCCCCATCCCATAGAAGTACTGCCCCATCCCATAGAAGTACTGCCCCATCCCATAGAAGTACTGCCCCATCCCATAGAAGTACTGCCCCATCCCATAGAAGTACTGCCCCATCCCATAGAAGTACTGCCCCATCCCATAGAAGTACTGCCCCATCCCATAGAAGTACTGCCCCATCCCATAGAAGTACTACCCCATCCCATCTTCTACTGCCCCATCCCATCTTCTACTGCCCCATCCCATCTTCTACTGCCCCATCCCATAGAAGTACTGCCCAATCCCATCTTCTACTGCCCCATCCCATCTTCTACAGCCCCATTTCATTTTCTACTGCCCCATTCCATCTTCTACTGCCCCATTCCATCTTCTACTGCCCCATCCCATCTTCTACTGCCCAATCCCATCTTCTACTGCCCCATCCCATCTTCTACTGCCCCATTTCATCTTCTACTGCCCCATTCCATCTTCTACTGCCCCATCCCATCTTCTACTGCCCCATCCCATCTTCTACTGCCCCATCCCATCTTCTACTGCCCCATCCCATCTTCTACTGCCCCATCCCATCTTCTACTGCCCCATCCCATAGAAGTACTGCCCAATCCCATCTTCTACTGCCCCATCCCATCTTCTACAGCCCCATTTCATTTTCTACTGCCCCATTCCATCTTCTACTGCCCCATCCCATCTTCTACTGCCCCATTCCATCTTCTACTGCCCCATCCCATCTTCTACTGCCCCATTCCATCTTCTACTGCCCCATCCCATCTTCTACTGCCCCATCCCATCTTCTACTGCCCCATCCCATCTTCTACTGCCCCATCCCATCTTCTACTGCCCCATCCCATCTTCTACTGCCCCATCCCATCTTCTACTGCCCCATCCCATCTTCTACTGCCCCATCCCATCTTCTACTGCCCCATTTAATCTTCTACTGCCCCATCCCATCTTCTACTGCCCCATCCCATCTTCTACTGCCCCATCCCATCTTCTACTGCCCCATCTTATCTTCTACTGCCCCATTCCATCTTCTTCAGCCCCATTCCATCTTCTACTGCCCCATCCCATAGAAGTACTGCCCCATCCTATAGAAGTACTGCCCCATCCCATAGAAGTACTGCCCCATCCCATAGAAGTACTGCCCCATCCCATAGAAGTACTGCCCCATCCCATAGAAGTACTGCCCCATCCCATAGAAGTACTGCCCCATCCCATAGAAGTACTGCCCCATCCCATAGAAGTACTGCCCCATCCCATAGAAGTACTGCCCCATCCCATAGAAGTACTACCCCATCCCATATCCTACGGCCCCATCACACCCTCTACTACTTCTCCCCTTCACCTTCTACTGCCCCACCCTCTACTGCTACAACTTCTAGTCCAACCCTCTACACCCCCCCTCCCTTCACCCTTAACTGACCACCTTCTTCTACCCTACTCTCTACCTCCCCCCCCCCCCATTCTTCCCTACGCTCTACTGTCCCACCCTTTACTCCCCCCCCCTTCTATTACTCCCCCACCGTCTAATCTTACCCCCCCCCCCCCATACCCTCTACGCCCTTGTAGCACTGCCGTACATAAACCCACCAATCCAATTACCCTGGAACTCTTTGTTACCGGCCTGCCCCGATTAAAACAAGAACCCAACATTTCCCCGGCACTAGATTAATCTTGCATAAGACCCGTGCCGGCAGCCTGCTCACCCACCCTCACCCCCCTCCCTCATCTCCCCCACCCCCTCCACAATCTTTCCCCATATCGGTATCTTTAATAAAGGCTAGTAAAATATGAATAGGCAACAAGCTAAGATCAATTCATCTAGTTAATGAATTTTTTTTTAGACTTAAAAACAAGAGGGAGGTTATTATATTTTATGATTACCCTCCACTAAATACAATGAATGTCAAACCACTTCAGGCTATTAAAGACAGCCGTATGTAATCCATGAAGTAACAGGACCAATTTCCTTTGTAGCATGTCTGGGAAGCCCAAAGAGGCGGGGAGGGGGAGCGAAAATGTTGTTGTAATATTTCTATCTATAACAGATGAAATATTCTAATTAAAATAGCTTCAACTTTTTGCTATTGTCACAATTTTTTTTAAACATTTTTTTTTTATTTTCGTGAGAGAAAACATTTAATAAATTAATTCAAGCCGTCAATCACTGACATTTGAGCCCCGCCTCCACTGCAAGTTAAAGGTCTTAATACTCTTTTATTCCCTTTTTTTTGTTTCGCTATTTTAAAAATTATTTTTAAAGATACGAATCCAAGTTTTTAACTGCCTGGTTTTTGGCTGTTTGCAGGGGAAAGTTGAAGCAGAGTTGCATCTGATGACGTCAGAGGAGGCAGAAAAACACCCGGCCGGACTGGGGCGCTCCGAACCCGATCCTTTAGAGAAGCCAAAGTAAGTAGATCTACTGGGGAGTTGATCCTTTAGAGAAGCCAAAGTAAGTAGATCTACTGGGGAGTTGATCCTTTAGAGAAGCCAAAGTAAGTAGATCTACTGGGAACCCGATCCTTTAGAGAATCCAAACTAAGTAGATCTACTGGGGAGTTGATCCTTTAGAGAAGCCAAAGTAAGTAGATCTACTGGGACTCGATCCTTTAGAGAAGCCAAAGTAAGTAGATCTACTGGGAACCCGATCCTTTAGAAAAGCCAAAGTAAGTAGATCTACTGGGGAGTTGATCCTTTAGAGAAGCCAAAGTAAGTAGATCTACTGGGACTCGATCCTTTAGAGAAGCCAAAGTAAGTAGATCTACTGGGACTCGATCCTTTAGAGAAGCCAAAGTAAGTAGATCTACTGGGAACCCGATCCTTTAGAGAAGCCAAAGTAAGTAGATCTACTGGGAACCCGATCCTTTAGAGAAGCCAAAGTAAGTAGATCTACTGGGGAGTTGATTGTTGGATGATCTACTGTTAAAGTAGAAATTTCTTTCGACCCTAGCTACGTACACAGGCTGTGTCCAAGAGGCCCGGAAATTTTAAAAAGCCCCCCCCCCTAACTATTATTATGACTTTGTCTCCACCAATTTGAATGTTACGCCATGGTATGAAGTAAGAGAAATGGTAAAATGGAGAAACACCAACAAAACGTTTTTTTTTTTAAATCAAAACCCTATTACTGCAGCACCTTTTCTGGGGGCCCATCGGAATTTTTTTTTTTCCTGCGTCCCATCTGAATTTTTTCCGATTGACCTGCAGGCCAGTCCACCCCCGGGTGTACAAGATGACTGCTAGAAATAGCAATAGGTGGTCCACATAATTATGTACAATTGCACGATTACCCATCGGATATAAATAACTTACGTAGCCTGTATTAGCTTATGGGTTAACCGTGCGGCGTCAATTCGGCCAATGACGAAACGGCCCCGTCAAAACGACCCCGACAAATCGGCCCCGTCAAAAGGGCCAGCGACATATGGACCCCGTCATATAGGCTCCCGACAAATAGGCTCCCGTCATTTAGGCTACCGACAAATAGGCTCCCGTTATATAGGCTCCCGACAAAAGGGCTCCAGTCAATAAGGCTCCTGACAAATAGGCTCCCGTCATTTTGGCTCCCGACATATAGTCTCCCGTCATTTAGTTTTTTCCACAAAACGGCCCCCGTCATTACGACTCCCGACAAATAGGCTAGCGCCATTTTGGCTCCCGACAAAAAGGCTCCTGTCAATTTGGCTCCAGACAAAAGGACCACTGACACAGTGGCGTAGCTACCGTAAAGCTAGCGTAAGCAAGGCATGGGGGCCCAAGGCACATAGGGGCCCTTTTCCCTCATAAAAAATTAAAACTTTTACAATGGAATTTTAATATTTGTTACATATAAATAATTTTAAAAAAGAAAAAGGTTAAAAGTTCCAAAAAGCCCCCCCCCCCCCCCCCCACCGTTTCGGCAGTGGGATTCAGTGTTTGTGGGTCAAACAGAGCCCAATCGTTATAATGACACTACAGGCTATATCACTTTGTCGTGCAAGACATTGAGAGAATCAGCCTATAAATGAACTTTTTAGCAGTAGTAGGCAAGCATAATAATATAGTATAAATACAAAATCAGGACATATAAAATACAAAATGTTGCCTTCAGAATATTTATATATTAAAAAATATCCATCGTAAGTAGAAGTTGATCTCTTCGTTTAACTCCTCTGTAGCCTAACGCAGAGGCGTAGCGAAGGCGAGGCGGGGGGTGCGGACCGCAACGGGTGACACCATTTAGGGGGGGGGGGGGGGTGACACCAAAGGCAAAAAATTGTAAAATTTCCCGGCAAAGCGATCTCATTGAATATGACATCTGCCAGTGGGACCCCTTCATCAATATTCTTTAGAGTTAGCTTATCCAACACTCTTATGTAATACAACGTATGCATCTCTTGTTCGGCAGGCCTTATTTTTATATTAGTTTATCTATTATAAAATATAGCATGTTTTAATTTAAGGGTCATCTATCTATGACATCCATAATTGAGTCGGTTATAGGCTGTTCCAACTCATTGTGTGGGGAGAAGGGTCCACGCTGTACCTTCCTAAATGCAATATGCTTGTACAGGGGCGTAGCGAGGGGGGTGGGCGGGGGGTGCGGACCGCACCGGGTGACACCATTTAGGGGGGTGACACCATTAAGTGCCGCACCGGGTGGCACCCGACCTCGCTACGCCACTGTGCTTGTAGGTTATCAAAACAAAATGCTGGTGGAATTCAGCTGTTAAGGGCTCGATTTATTTGTGAATTAATGTTGGTTCATGAAAAAATAATTTCATTCGGGCATTAAAAAGAGGTTATGGTGGTATTGGAGGTAGGACACAATGGTTACTTTTATGCCAATAGTGGTCATATCATTCATTTTTCTGGAGCCAATATGTCGGGAGTCATTTTGTCAAAAGCCAATATGTCGGGAGCCCAATTGCCGGGAGCCAATATGTCGGGAGCCCATTTGTCGGTAGCCAAAATGTCGTGAGCCCATTTGCCGGGAGCCCATTTGTCTTGAGCCCTTATGTCGGGAGCCAATATGTCGGGAGCCGCTTTGTCGGGAGCCAATATGTCCTGAGCCTATTTGTCAGGGGTTAATATGTCGGGAGTCCATTTGTCGGGAGCCTAAATATCACGAGCCCATTTGTCGGGAGCCTATATGTCGCAAGTCAATATGACGGGAGCCCATTTGACGGGAGCCAATAAGTCGGGGCCCTTTTGACGGGGCTATTTTGACGGGGTCGGTTTGTCGGGAGTCGATTTGACGGGGTCGTATTAACGGGGCCGTTTTGACGGGGCCGATTTGTCCCGGGCCGTTTTGACAGGGCACCGGGTTAACTGATGCTCCTACAGTCCCGGTGCAGCCTATAGTTGGGGTATCTACTTCACCTGTCAGGTTCAGTGAAGTCACTGCACCGTGCATTGATGCAACAGTTTGCATGACGCCATTGCGCCGGCGTGTGACGTCGAAGCACTGTTGCGTGAAGTTGCGTGCAAGGTCTGTGGCGTGTATGGCTTGACGGTCAAGCTTAGCATGACCTCACTGCGCCGTTGTGTGACGTCATGGCAAGGTTGTCGTTACAGCACCGTGTGCGCGTATGGACCATATGATGTCAATTCCTTCGTGTATCCCCCTACCGGTCCGGCCTCCCCCACCTCCCACCCCCCCCCCCCTTTTTTTGCTGCCCCCTCACATCTTATAATGTATCTCTTCGGCCGAATCCCCAATATGAGCCCCTCACACCCCCACATGAACCCCGTCCCATCTGATCTGATCTCCCGTCGATCGGCCCACCCCCACATGAGCCCCCTCACATCTGCCATTATATCACCCCAGCCACCCAGCCACCCCCCCCCACGAACCCCTTCTGATCTGACCTTGTATCTCCCCAGCCAACCCGACTCGTCCTTCATGTGGTTCATGAACCCTCTCACATTCGACCCAACCCCCCCCCCCCACGAACCCCCTGACATCTGACCTTGTATCTCCCCAGCCAACCCGACTCGTCCTTCATGTGGTTCATGAACCCTCTCACATTTGACCTAACCCTCCCCCCCCCCCCACGAACCCCCTGACCTCTGACCTTTTATCTCCCCAGCCGACCCGACTCGTCCTTCATGTGGTTCATGAACCCTCTCACATTTGACCCAACCCCCCCCCCCCCACGAACCCCCTCACCTCTGATCTTGTATTTCCCCAGCCGACCCGACTCGTCCTTCATGTGGTTCATGAACCCCTTCAAGTCCCTGCGCTACATCCTCTGGCACAACTACAAGTGGATCATCATCAAGCTGTTCCTGCTCGCCCTGCTCACGGCCCTGCTCCTGCTCTTCTTCTACTCCATGCCGGGCTACACGGTCAAGAAGATGTTCAACGCTTAACTTCGGTCCCAGGGGTCACTCTCTGGAGGCTCCCTCAGCGGTCACTCGCTTTTGGAGCCCCCCCCCCCAGCGGTCACTCGTTGATGCTCCCCTGCGGTCACTCACTGTAGACTCCCCCCACGGTCACGGGGCTGTGTCTAATCTCCCCACAGCGCGACACCAACAACATAATTGTGGCCGCAAGCTCTTGGTACTGATAAATCAGCTTGACATGTTAATTGGATCAAACCTCATTACCCGACCAACTTAATTAACGTAAATTAATTATGATAATTATTTGGCTTTATAATTGACTGAAAGAGCAGGGATTATAGACTAATATTAAGGTGGATACAGTTTTTGTCATTCTTGAAGTTTTGTTAACTTCAGACACCAACAGCGGGTGTGATGTTGTTTTTTTTTTATATAAAATTATTTTATTAAAAAATCTAAATGTTGGTTAATGTAAATATATTACCATGTAAATATATAATTAATATGTGCAATAATAAAATATATTATTGTTTACTTTAAACCTGTAAATGCTATTTTGTTTTTAAATTAATTTGTATGCACTAACATTGTTACCCCCCTTAACACCAAAGCTGTTAACGCCCTTTAATGTGTTTATTCAAAATTTAAATCTACCCTTTTTTAATTATGTTGATGCTAATTCATACCGTTTACTTACAATAAATCTGATTTTATTGTGAAGTAAATTTTTCATTTACACTTTTCTAAGCTTGAGCAAACTATTCTTATATTTTTGAATTTGAACACTTTTTGCTGACTTTGTGATATGATAATAATATAATGCCGTTGATATATTGTAAATTTGTGATACTTTATATATTTTTTTTTCAAATTGGATATTTTATTCCTTGATATACATTCACTTAGATCTAGTTTGAGGGCAAGGTCACCCAAGGCCAGAGGTCACCTATTTGTATACAGGTATCACCAGTGGCGTAGCGAGGTCGGGTGTCACCCGGTGCGGCACTTAATGGTGTCACCCCCCCCCCAGAGGCATAGAGACCCTTCCCAGGGACAAACTTTCAGATTTTCGATTTGCACTCCCCCCCCCCCTCAAACTTTCGATTTGCACCCCCCCCCCTCGAGTTTTTCTCTATATATTTTGCTATTTTTTGCCTTGGTGTCACCCCCCTAAATGGTGTCACCCGGTGCGGTCCGCACCCCCCGCCCCCCCCCCCCCCCGCCCCACTCCCTCGCTACGCCCCTGGGTATCACTACTACCACCATTTGACACCACTGTCGGGTCACCTTTTTACACTGATGTGTACTCACCTTTTTACTCAGCGGTCAAGTCACCATATGACGCAGGTGTCACCAATGTTCACCGTGGTTCAAGGTCACCACATCACCACACGGTCAACGCGTCACTCGGCAGTTACCATGATACACCGTTGTGTCATTACATACGCACTGGTCACCCTGTCAGATGGTGACCTCAACGCGATGACCCACGGGGTCACCATGTTAGACGGTAGGCATCACCGTGTCACCAATTTACACAGACGTCACCTCATCTTGTCCGATTTTCCATCATCTGGTGGTATTCTCATGGTCAACATTTGATGGTCAACATTTACTGGTCAACATTAGATGGTCAACATTAGATGGTCAACATTTGATGATCAACATTTGATGGTCAACATTAGATGGTCAACATTTGATGGTCAACATTAGATGGTCAACATTTGATGGTCAACATTAGATGGTCAACCTTTGATGGTCAACATTAGATGGTCAAAACTAGATGGTCAACATTAGATGGTCAACATTAGATGGTCAACATCTGATGTAAAACATGTGATGTAAAACATCTAATGTCAACATCTGATGCCAACATCTGATGTCAACATCTGATGTCAACATCTGATGTCAACATCTACTAGTCACATCTGCACACAGTGCCCCAAGTTTCACCGCCTGATATTTTTTATCTCATTGTTACTGTCATTTTTTGTTATTGTAGATAGAGTAACATTGTTATGTCAATTTGGAAAATACTTTGACGGTTCTTGCGTGCACAAATTTGCGTGTAGGACCCACAAAAACAGAGGACCCCCCCCCCCTTCCGCACGTATATTTTGTAAAATAAATACTATTTGACACTCTCCTCCCCCCTCCAACCCCCCCCCCCCCCCACTCAAGCACGCGTGATGGCCGTTATTATAATATGTAAATAAGAATATGCATCAGATCCCCCCCTACCCTAACAGGACTAATTTAATACATAAGTCATAGGTTTTAATATCTATTCCCCAACACTCATCAATAGACCCTACTGTTAACTCTGAACTTACCCACCCTCCCTAAACACACCAATTAACTCTACTTATACTCCATAAAACACACACAGAAGTCACTAGACCCTGCTCATTTTTTACCATGTTGATTCCTCCCCTCCCCCCACCCCACCCCTCACCTCACACACACACAAGACCCTACACGTATTGTGTAAACGATGCCATTACAAACTACAGATCTCCCTGTACCCCCCCCCTCCCCCATAACTCCCGCTCTTGTATGTACTCTCTCGCAACTTGCATTCACTTTTATTTTTTTCTCTCCCTTGGTTAAGCTCCGAAGTCCCGCGCTAAGCTCCTGAGCTCCCACCTTCAGGCCCGCCAGCTCTAGCTCTAAATCCCGTGGGTTAACCTTTCTTAGCGACACGCCTTTCATCGTGGGGCTCCCCGCGTCTTATGCTTAACCTCTCTCATTAGTAAAGCCCCCACCACCTCTCATTAGTAAAGCCCTCCCACCTCTCTCATTAGGAAAGCCCACCCCCACCTCTCTCATTAGTAAAGCCCACCCCCTCCCTCATTAGTAAAGCCCACCCCCAACTCTCTCATTAGTAAAGCCCACCCCCAACTCTCTCGTTAGTAAAGCCCACCCCCAACTCTCTCATTAGTAAAGCCCACCCCCCTCCCTCATTAGTAAAGCCCACCCCCCAACCTCCCTCATTAGTAAAGCGCCCCCCACCCCAACTCTCTCTAGTAAAGCCTCCCCACCCCTCTAATTAATAAAGCCCCCCACCTCACCTCTCTCATTAGTAAAGCACCCCCCAACTCCAACTCTCGCTAAATAAGCTCCCTACCTCTCTCATTAGTAAAACCTACCCCCCCCCCCCACCTCAATGAATTGAAAAGCCCATCACCCTCTCGTTACATAAAGCTACCTTACATAAACCCACCTTACATAAACCAACCTTTTAGAATACATAAACCCACCATCTCATTACTAAACCCACCAGTTCACTAACTGTAACCCCACTAGTTTTCCCCCACGTTATCCCCATCATCCCCCATGGATAATCCTATCACATCCCAGGGATAATCCAACTATCTCTCTCTACCCCCCCCCCCTCTCCATTGTTACCTTAAGTTTTGAACCCCGGGGTGTGTAAGATCGTCTTCCTTTTTGCACGCGAAATCGGAACCAGAAATATCGAAGCATTTTTCAGTGCACAATAATTACCTTTCGTCATATTCGATTACATGTTTATGGAAAGACATTAAAATTTCATTTAGCATTGGATTAAAATTTCAACCATTAAAAAATAAAAATCGAAAGAAAGAAAAAAAAAATGTTATTGTTAATGGCAAACTATTCTCTGTGGTGTGTGTGCGTGTGTGTGTGTGTGTGTGTGTGTGCGTCCGTGTGTGTGTGTGTGTGAGTTTGTGCGTGTGTGCGCACACGCGCAAGGCGCATTGCCCGACGAACAAAGTGGGATGGTGTGTCTATTGAAGAGCGACCCCCACCATACGGACAGACCGGCGTCCAGTCGCGACACCCGAGACTCCCCCGGGGGGGGTCTGAGGTCCCCGGGCGAGCGGTGATGGCCTGGGTGACGAATTAAAACTCTCCCCGACCATAGGACTAAGTTGAGAGCCAGGTAGAAAGCATGCATTTAGAAAAACAAAATTGTTAGGTTTTTTCTTTTAATCCGTGCATTTCAGACTTTTGTTAGGAAATCACAAGGGGAATAATTTGAGGCCACTGTTGGAAAAAAATATTTTTTCAGATCTGAGGTGATCAACAACCATTATTACCTCCCCTGTCCCCCACCTTCTATTTATAGCTGATAAAAGATATTCCATTCTCAATAATTTAGTATAATCTTGCCAGAGATATCTTCGCGCATAATCCAGGTGTGCATGGGAGATTGGGAGAGACAGGGAGAGAGAGAGAGAGAGTATGTGTATCGGTGTAAATGAGAGAAATTTTTACACAATACGATACACAAAATATTTCCTTTGATGAAAATAAGTATCAAGCCAAGATTTGTTTGGTTCACTACCGCTGACGATAAAATGACATCATTGGATATATTTATTTTTTAAAAAAACTCTATCAGGAGATAAATTTGTTGGATTCTTAAAAATTTGATGAAAAAAGAATTGCTTTTAAAAATTTGATGCAAAAAGAATTGCTTCATGTTTGGTTACGTCATAGTCAGACAGAGATGTCGTACTACTGTCACGTGATGACCTCCTGTGGTATTGGCATGAACTAACCTTTAACCCTGAAGTATCACAAACAGTAGAAGGGGTGCGGTGTGGCTGGATCAACGTACGACTGCTAACCCAAAAGTTTAGCCCCCGGACTCCTGAAGACCCACACTAGCTGTAGACAGCAACCCATTTTGAAAAAAAAATCTCCACAAATTCAAACAACTGCGGCTTTGAAGATGTTCTTGGGCGAACAAAAGCACGTCCAGACGGAACTGTAGGCTGTAGCTGGAGTCACTGAGCCATATGGCACCGAGTACTTGAATACGGTAGAGCAACAACATCCACGTTAGACATAATGATTCTCTCGAACGTTGAAGGAGTCTGTGTGTAGTTACAAACTGATAATTTTAAAAAAATCACTCCCAAAATGAATCATGATTTGAGAGAAATTTAAGCATTTAAACTTTTTAATTGGTCTTTTACACCGACGAAAAAAAGGAAGAAAATTATTGGCCAAATTTAATAAAGATCGAATAGATAACTGTATGCAGAGTTTCTTCCGAAAATTTTTTACCGCCCCCCCCCCCCCCCCGAACAAAGTGAAAATTATAAAATTTATATAGAAAATATATACTTTTAGCAGTGTCCGCCCCCCCCCCCCGAAGAAAGTTTACCGCCCCCCCCCCCCCCCGAAGATTTCAAGTGCCCCCCCGGAGAAAAAAGTCTGGAAGAAACACTGAAAGCGTATGTATATGTACCTACCACGACCGCAAGTATCGATGCTGGCGTATAAAAAATGCCTCATACGCGGACAATACAATCTTCATCTTCTACTAATGATGATGAATTAAAGAATAATTAACATTTCCGGAACAACAAACGGCGATTTTTATTTCATTGTCCTAAACTCGGTGCCGAAAATAACGAGATCAATGTCAATAAAACATAGAATTGTGGGAAATTGTTCAACATTTAGGGATGAACATGATCTACTATGATAAGCGCTAATTTAAAGGTTTAAAGGAAATAATTGGAAGTATCAAAACCCGATCTAAGGAAAACTTGATTCGGTTGACATTTTGCAGGAAAAAAATATTTTCGTCCTACTGGTTTTTATTTTACCTGAAGGTTCAAAATTTGATCTGGCTTAACGCGTTTTGTTGAATAATCGTTGTCTCCTATGGCGCCTTTTATTGTTCTTTCGTACAAAAGAACTAGAACTTCAGAAGATTATTTTTCTACAGACAAACGAAAGACCTATTTGTCTGACAGATTTTTTTTTACTTGACGCTTTAGGGTTTGTTGTGAAATAAATCGATTAATAAATAGACCGGCATCTTTAGAAATTTAAGACGCGAGTTCATTTACACTTGAATACTGTTGTATAAAATCGAAAGTAAAAATTCAAATAAGTAGGAAATAATAAGTTTGATGCTCGTAAATTCGATAAGTTGGAACTGGTAATATTTTTTTTATATGAGCTATAGTTTCTTCCATTGACGAGCAATTTTTCTTTGATCAGATGATGTTTGGCACCCAGTGTTCGAATCTGTAGCTGTTTGTCTATGGTTTCAAAAGATACCAGCTGGTTTAACAAGGGCTGGCGTTTTGTGACACGACTGAAAAAATCTTGGGTAAAGTTAGTGACGAGAGGTCGTCAAACGCAGGTGAAGTAGAGTTGGACAGTTTATGTACCAAAAACATGAAGTGGTGGTGTGATCGGTTTTATAAGCAAGGTTTTTGTTTTACTTTCAGAGTTGGGTAAACTCAGGCACCAACAATAGATATTTTATTTAAAAAAATACTGGAGCTGTACTAACTCTCATATATTGCATAGAGAAGTTGGAACATAACTCCCATAGAAAGCATCAGTGTTTCTTTCAGACACTTCTCTGCAGGAGGTGAGGGGTGGGGGCTCTGAAACTTTCAGGTGGGGGGGGGGGGGGCTAAATTATCCGAGAGAAGCGTACACCAGAAAAATGATATATTTCCTATATAAATTATATTTCGTTGGGGGTAGAATACAGGAATTGTACAGAAATACCATAAACAGAATAGACGAGGAAAGAAGTGATTAGAAAAAAAAAAAAAGGAGAAGAGATTGATAAGATGAATTACCATTGGGGACAGTTAGAAGAAGAAAGGGCTCCTGTGGGCGAGTTAACGCCCTTAGCAGGGGAGGCAACCGGATATTTTTTTTAAAGAAAAAAATTCTAAAGAAATATATCGAGCCGCGCTTTACGTTTTCGGGCAATACATTATTTAGACCCTGTTTTAAATGTTTATAGTAGAATATACGCTGGTGTATTTTGTACATCATTGTGGTAGCTCTATGTATAGTAGAATTTACGCTGGTGTATTTTCTGTACATAATTGGGGTAGCTCTATGTATAGTAGAATATACGCTGATGTATTTTGTACATAATTGGGGTAGCTATAGGTATAGCAGAATATACGCTGGTGTATTTTCTGTACATAATTGGGGTAGCTATATGTATAGTAGAATATACGCTGATTTATTCTGTACATCATTTGGGTAGCTCTATGTATAGTAGAATATACGCTAATGTATTCTTTACATCATTGGGGTAGATCTTTGAACATGTATTTTCTTCACTGTGAATAAAAACAAGTTGCTAGTCTTGCTACGACCAGCAGCAGTTGAACTTTAAGAAAGCTGCGATTCAGGTAACCACCCCACACCCCCTTATCTGCCAACCTTTTTCTTTTGTCTTGCTAATGAACATCGCCTAGTCCAGTTATGTTTGACTCGTAATTAGCGCGTGCCAGAAATAACGAAGTAAAAAAAAAAATATAAAGAGACCACACCTAGCAGCTTCACACAATAGTTACCTTTTTGGTTCAGATAATTGTTTTTTTTCTAATTTTTTAAATAGCATGAACAAACAAGCCTGTGTGGCATTAAAATTTTTTTTAAGATATGAAAAAGTACAAGTGCATTGGTGCAAAACAAATGTTTAAAAAATCTAGTCTGAAATTAAAACAAATCGTTAGGACGTCTCATTGAAGGATTTAGTTTTTATTTTAATTATTTTAAAAAAGTTTTTGTTTTATTTTTATATTTCCTCATTACAGGCTCTAGCCATAGCTCCGTGCAGTAATTCTCCGCCATGTATGTCTATCCCTATGAAAAAAATAAACTGAAATTAACTCGATTCTAAATGAAAAAAAAATGGATAAGCTATTTTTTATTTAAGCCTACCGCACAGACAGTTGAAGCCACCGGAAATGCAAGATATATCAGCGAGGGGTGGGGGGATAGACGAAGATTTACTCAAATTTACTGTCTTCATCAACTTGGAACTTCACATTTTCCAGTTGTGGATGCATAGGTTACTTGAAGATTTACTGCCTTTATCAACATGGAACTTCACATTTTCTAGTCGTAAAGGAAAGGGTCAGACATTCAGGAAAACGCGAGTCTCACAAATGTGACACACCGGGGATGTTTTCATATGGAGCTTTTGTGGTGTAGCCTATTGTCCCTGGCTGTTAGCAAACTTAACGCCGAATCCCGTGTATTATGTTACCGGCGAGTATGAAATCCCGGCATTTTATTACATCCTGTGGGTTCACGCTAGTCTCGCACAAAAGATGTATCCCATGACCCCCCTTTGCCAACTGTGTTTACACGTCAAATGGAAGCTTAGGTTGAACTCTCCTACATGTACGGCCATCACTGATTTCTTTAAAGCACTCACATTTTCAAAAGTACACTACTGTTATTTTGGTTATCATTTAGAATGAATTGTCCTGAACACCAATGCGACATTATTGTCGGAACCATTTGTCTCGTAAGGCGGTTCTTGAAATAACACGAGATGATTTTTTTTTGTTTATTTGTGGAGGGAATAAAGTTTATCCTAAACTTTGTCGGTGTTCGTGTTTGCCATCCTATATAAGGAGCACTTTCAGTATGAAATTGTTTATTTCCTATGTTGACTGTCCGTTTTTTACAATGAATGGAATGTTGGCTAACGAAATTAATGATATACATTTTAAATTAAAAGGAAATTGCGACTTAGTGGTCAAATTGTTAGAGCGAAGGTTTCGAGTTCGGATCTTGATTCCTAACTCACGTTGGGGAAATCAAAAGCGGCTGGGCATTGTGCTGACCTAAAACCAGCACTTTATTTGCCGTGGACGAGATACATGAACTCTACTTCACCAGCCGTATGGATAGTTAGATCTGAAGAAGACCTTTTTTAAAAATCATTGACCCGTGTCTTAGGCGAAAGATGTAACTAGTGGAACCACTAGTTAAGATTTCTATTTATCAGTCCAAACTAGGGTTAGTTAGCTGTAGTCTCAAAGTCCTAACGTGAAGTCTAGACTTACTTATTATTCAGACAGTCAGAAGACTAGAGTGAATTAATTAGTAATTACTCCTAAAATTCCCAATTAAAATATCATTATGCATTTTCCAACTGTTGTGCATTCTATCTATTTTAATCAAAGTACCATATGCAATCAACCTTATATAATGACTACTGCACAATAACCATCAATACTTGAGGGCATAATGGATCATGGCAATACTAAATGCAATTGATTTCTTATTTTTATGTTGTGTATTTAGATATCGATGTGTACAACATCTTTTCACCAACCTAGTCAACTCTATGAACACGTACATACCAAAGACTTAAAGTAGGCAAAAATTTTAAATGCAATGAATGAACAAAAGAATGAAAATATCTTTTAATTTTCTTTATCATTCAATTCTTTATACAATGATTATAAGACATCAAATTCTTAAAAATGGCACCCCGTGGCCTTGTTGGGTGAAACTAGGTCAGACGGGAGATGACCTAGTTTCACCCAACAAGGGCAAGGACAATTATAATATTCATAAAAACAGATTTAAAAAAAACATGGCAGAATGGGTCTCAATGAAACTACCACATTAACTTAATTAAGTTACAGGTTACAGTCAGGCCTGGTGAGTCTAGACCGGACCGAGAGCTCTCCTTAACAGTAAGTTACATTAGTTTATTTAAGGGGGTGGGGGCTACTTATATAATAATTATCAACAAAAACAGATGGCCCGTTTACCAAATACAGGCCAATTTACCATCATCAATTTCTTCCAATTATGAAATTTTAACTATATGTTGATGTTCACTAGTCAAAAAACAACATTTTTTTGTTTGTTTACAAAGTTTATATCTAGGCTTGCTATACGCTCACCTGACATACATGTAATGTACATCCCATATACTTCTAATTTAATTCTGTTGTACCATGGGAATCCCCATATCCTAAACCAAAGGGGCTCAAATAATGAAGTTTATATTTCACTGCTCAAACTACTAGAGAGACCGATACACAAAAATTTAGAATGTACAAGTTTACCATTGAGGTTTGCAAGGTCTGTAAACAGATTTAAACTACTGTGATAGGGCAGACTCCTACCAAAATTAGAACCACAGTATGTAGCTAGCAGTAGACCTCACTCTAGCTAGCAGGGCAGATACCTCACTCTAGCTAGCTGGCCAGATACCCAGTACCTCACTCTAGCTAGCTGGCCAGATACCCAGTACCTCACTCTAGCTAGCTGGCCAGATACCCAGTACCTCACTCTAGCTAGCTGGCCAGATACCCAGTACCTCACTCCAGCTAGCAAGGCAGATACCCAGTACCTCACTCTAGCTAGCTGTCCAGATACCCAGTACTTCACTCTAGCTAGCTGTCCAGATACCCAGTACTTCACTCTAGCTAGCTGTCCAGATACCCAGTACCTCACTCTAGCTAGCTGTCCAGATACCCAGTACTTCACTCTAGCTAGCTGGACAGATACCCAGTACTTCACTCTAGCTAGCTGTCCAGATACCCAGTACCTCACTCTAGCTAGCTGTCCAGATACCCAGTACTTCACTCTAGCTAGCTGGACAGATACCCAGTACTTCACTCTAGCTAGCTGTCCAGATACCCAGTACCTCACTCTAGCTAGCTGGCCAGATACCCAGTACTTCACTCTAGCTAGCTGGACAGATACCCAGTACTTCACTCTAGCTAGCTGTCCAGATACCCAGTACCTCACTCTAGCTAGCTGGCCAGATACCCAGTACCTCACTCTAGCTAGCTGGCCAGATACCCAGTACCTCACTCTAGCTAGCTGTCCAGATACCCAGTACCTCACTCTAGCTAGCTGTCCAGATACCCAGTACCTCACTCTAGCTAGCTGTCCAGATACCCAGTACCTCACTCTAGCTAGCTGTCCAGATACCCAGTACCTCACTCTAGCTAGCTGGCCAGATACCCAGTACCTCACTCTAGCTAGCTGGCCAGATACCCAGTACCTCACTCTAGCTAGCTGGCCAGATACCCAGTACCTCACTCTAGCTAGCTGTACAGATACATAGATAAAGGGGTACAAGTCACATTATGGGTCTAGTAAACCTCATCCATATTTTTAAAAAAAATAAATACATTTTTTAAAAAGACTGTACAAAAGCGTGATCTTTACTTCTCAGTGTTCAAAATAGAGTGACAATTTATTGTAAAATAAGCCATGTTTGGGAAACATTTGATTTCATATGTCTGATAAAACCCTCTTAGTGAACATCTCCCTACAGAAGAAAACATGAAGAAAACTGTCTAAAGCCCTTAGTTAACTAATCAATGTAAAATAAGAATTAATCACAGGAGCAATAAACAGTTATGTATGTCAGTCATACAAACACAAGTTACGTATGTCAGTCATACAAACACAAGCTACGTATGTCAGTCATACAAACACAAGTTACATATGCCAGTCATACAACAACTGTTATGTATGTCAGTCATACAAACACAACAGTTATGTATATCAGTCCAATACATTCAAGAGCACAAGCAGACTGAGCCAGAGAATTAAAGTACAATAGTGATGGGACAATGGAAAAAATATCAGACAGCAACTAGCCAGGGTTGAACCTAGCCAGAGATAACAAACATAATTTGGAAACTGGCAGTCATTACCACACCAGTCTCATCAGACACTAGCAGGGGGGGGGGGTGAAAACTGGCAGTCATTACCACCCCAGTCTCATCAGACACTAGCAGGGGGGGTAGTGATATATTCAAACAAATTTTCTCATTTACTTTGTACTGTGTTCTATGTAAAGGGAGCACCACATATAATGTGTAGGGTGGTGGGTAGAATCACACACAAACATTTTTTTGTGTGGGCCACTTAAACTTCTCTAGATGTAGATGTAGTAAAAAAGTTATTGGTTGAGTTAACTTATGAGGCATTTATTTATGTAAGGGTTGGTAGGGGCATTAGGAAGTGTAATCATGTGGAAATAGAATATAGAAGTTTGAAATATACTGAAGCAAAAATAAGACCAAATATTTAGGGTGCATAGAGAATTGATTTAATGCTTTTATTTCTTCTTTGGTAAATTTCATGTGATGCCTCAATCAGTTTTAATCTTATAGCGAACATGGATCATTTTGAGTATGTAGCCAGACTTAAACTGGACCATTTGTATATTTCATTCTGTTAAAAAATATTTAAGTTTCTAAGCTATAACTGTTTTACTAGAAACTGTCTGAAATATCATTCTGGCAAGCTGTCGACTTACATAAAAAATTATGTCTAAACTTAAACTGTTATACTTTTGAAAAACATGATAAACAACTTATTATTGGCAAAAAAAACAACACATTCCACCGCAAAAGTGTACATAAGTTCATTAAAAACAAATTAACAAAATCTTAAAATAATTTTACTACAAACTTTAAGGATATTTTCAGTTATTTCAAAATAGCCAGTTGCTAAAATGACTCAAATGGTAGTGAAACGTCAAGCATCAAGTCTAGGTCACATAACACAACAACTTTGTCAAGTCCATGTCATATAAAACTCAATAATTCTGTCTAGTCAGTCACAAAAAAACTCAATATATTTAAACAGTAATGTTAAAAAAAAATACAATGCTCATTACATGAAGTATGATTTATCTAAAACCAATGGCCAACAGAACAGGTAATATAACATATGTAGAACTGTTTGGTACCTCCCACCTATACACATATCTCTAGACCATTGAGCATCTTCAGAATAAGGTTACAAGGTAGCATAGTGCCAGAGATAAATTAAATTTGATAAATATTTTGTTCTTTTTTTTTTTTACTTCTCCTACGACATCCCAATTAGCCAAATGTCCAGGTTCCTGGTACACGAATAGGTGAACAATTGTTACAGGACCAGGTGTTGTCTTGTGTCACATGGCTGTAGGGTGGACAGCTTGCATACAGCAGCTGTTGGCTGGACAACTTACATACAGCAACTGTGACAGCTTACATACAGCAACTGTGACAGCTTACACGCAGCAGTTGTTGGCTAGACAACTTACATACAGCAGCTGCGACAGCTTACATACAGCAGTTGTTGGCTGGACAGCTTACATACAGCAACTGTTGGCTTAACAGCTTACATACAGCAAACTGTACAAAGTCTGTGGCTGGTACTACAAAGGTTCAAATTTCCCCCAAACAAATAAAAAATAGTGCAGCCACAGTCCAATATATTGGAAACACTTCATTCAGTCTAATGGAATAGATCCAGCTAGTTTTTAGTGTCGCCAGCGTGTCACCAATGCATCACCAGCATGTCACCAATGCATCACCAGCGTGTCACCAATGCGTCACCAACGCATCACCAAGGTAGATGAAAAAAGAATGAAACAACTTGAAGGAATTGACGAGCCATTGAAAACAATATGGCACATAGCTTCTCCCCACACTATAATATCCACAATCCAGGGCTCGTGTCCCAGCAGCTCCCCCCCCCCCACAACACGCCTGCCCTCCTAGAGTGATCAGTAAATGTGTACATCCATCAGGAGACCCCACCAGCCAGGGGAGGCTGGCAGGGGGTACATAGAAAAATGAAGGTAGGTGCAGCGTCTAGAGGTAGTTCAAGTCTAAAGCATGATGTAGAGCAGCTAGGTCGGAATGATTTGAGATACGCCAGAATGGCCAGTTCATCTGGAAAAAATAGGAGATTAGAATTAATCTTTCAGTGTGCAGGATACTCGGTAGCAGTACATATACTCATATATAACCATATACTATACACAAATACATATATTTATATATGAATATATATATATATATATATATATATATATATATATATATATATATATATATATATATATATATATATATATTCATGTATATATATATATATATATATATATATATATATATATATATATATATATATATATATATATATATTCATATATATATATATATATATATATATATATATATATATATGAATATATATATATATATATTCATATATATATATATATATATATATATATATATATATATATATATATAAATCAGATATTTAAATCAGTAAAATTTGCTTTGGTGTTACAATGTTCCTAAATCAGATGGTAAATATCTGGGATTAATGGTGTATTTAAATGAAATATGTTATTCACTTTATTGGAATAGACACTTTTATTTTTTGTGTTTTTACTTCTTGATGTTACCCAGTGAAACATGCACCCATGCTTGTGATGTAGCTCTTTTACTACACATATACTTGTATTAGGGTATGACTTCAAATAGACTTATGACTAAAGCTATACCCAAAGAAAACCCACCTGTTTGGATGCAGATTCTTCATCTCGTCCATCTCCTACAACCACATATGTACACTTCCTACCAAACCTGGACACTATCCTCTCAAAACAACTTTCTTTACCTGAGGGGAAACAAAAACATTCAGTCAACCCACCCAGTACACTGAATTAACACGCTGTATGTCAACCTTTCAGGATAATCAAGTTTGAATTTTTAACATATCTAACCTACAGGTAAAGATGACAAAATGTTCAAGTGGAATTTTCTATTGACTCTTTTAATACAAGTTGCTTAAGATATCTATTACGTGTTTATGAAATCAGTTAAAATTTCCAGTCAATGGAATAAAGTAAATAATACTAATAAATTGAGTACTATTATGCCCTAATAGCTTGCTTTAGACTTTATAAGAGATCAATTGAGAGTCAGATAAGGAATGATTGAGTGACATGACCCAGACTGAAAAAAATGTCAACTACTGGGATTGGCAATGTGTGATCAAGATTCTACTCTGTAGAGATGCAAATGGTGGGAATAAGAAGACTGTAGAGAGAACTTACCAATTTTGGTAGCACTATAAACATTCTCAATGTTGAAGACTCCCCCTAGCCCGTAGAGTAGAACTTTAGCCAGTGCAGGGACCAGCTGTGTGGTTGTAACTAACACATTGACACAGTTCGGCCTGGGGTAGAGGGTTAACTTGGTTAATCAACAAGTAAAACAGAATAGCTCTGTTAGACAATAACTTATACACTTATCTTACAGAAAATAGCTAACTTTGTTATGCAAAAACTAATATACTTATTTTACAGCCTTTGGCTAGCATTGTTAGACAACTTATACACTCATCTTACACTAATTTAACAGCAAATCTTTCACAATAAATGTGTATTGAATTGTTTTTCTTATGAAATACAGATGAACTTTAATACAAATGAAATCAACCGCTCAAACAGTTTTAGCTTCAAATTATAACAATGACTATCCAAGTTCAGTTTAACTTAAACATTTAATGAGTTGGTTTCTTGAATTTAAGTATTAAAGTAAACTAATCCAAACAAAATTATGAAGCGTGGACTACGGCCAACTATATAGACAACCTACCTGCTATGTATAATCTGTAAAGATTTGAGAGCTAGGGTGAGCCAGGAATCTGTTAAAGTCTCTATCTCTCTCCGTAACTGGATCCACTGGTCTCTCTTCTGGGGCCCTAACAGTTCTGGAATGGAAAGTAATGTTTTTTTTTACATCTAGCACTCGGGAATCTAGTGGTCAGGTGTAGCTGAATCAGACATGCTGGTCAAGTACATTATGACTGCGCCTGGTGGTCAAGTACATTATGACCAGGCATTGCATTCAAGCACATTATTGGGCATACGTGGTGGCCAGGTACATTATGCACACGTTTTTTTCTTTGCATTTCCACAAGTCACCCCTTGGTGTTAGTAAATCATGAACAGCATCACTCTTTTTACCATCAACCAGAGAAAATGATCATGTGACTTACCTCCTACATTGTTTTTATAGGTATTGTAAATCTCTTTCATCCTTCTGTATCTAAAGGCAAGTTTCCGCATCCAATCTACTCCGCCCCTGACCCCAGTGGCAAGGCACAGGTTGGCATTACTGGCAGCGGCATGGAACCCATCAGTAACAAAGTTGTAATTACTGGGGACAGATGTAACAATTTATCAGTAACAAAGTTGTAATTACTGGGGACAGATGTAACAATGAATGTAATTCATCCATAACAGACTTGAATGAATAATTTATACCTTAACATAATCAGGCTTTAATTTTTTTATTATTTTTTGTGTAAACTGATCTGCTTTGAAGAACAGAGTAGATCTAGATCATAGGAATACAATTTCAGTTTGAGAAAAAACAGTTTGGTAGTAACCACACACTATTCTTAAAAATTAAACTTTATTTTTTAAAAATCAACCCAGCATTACATAAAGGTGTGAGTATCTCTGATCCATAGCTACTGATATTCATGACTAAACAACCGATTTTATATTACGAGTATCTGTTCACGAAGTCTACAATTACCCACAACGATAATCCAAACAAAAGGTAGAATAATTTAAAAAAAAAAAAAAAAAAAAAAAAAAAAAAAAACAGCCTATAGTTGTAGAATCCCTCCCATCATAAAACAGGTTGAAACAGTGTAATACACTGTACGGTGTATGCTGGGTGTATACGATAAACCACAGATGTGATCCCGGGGGGAGGGCCCCGAGGGTGATGGTGTGTACGCATGACCACGCCGTATATTACCAGGGATAAGACAAGCTATCAGGACGGGTTGTAAAGATTCGACGCTTGAGCGTTTCGCCTTGATGGAATAAATACCCTCGTTAAAGTCTGAGTTACGGGCGTCTGGGGCTTTGATTCGCATGCCTTATCCTTAGGTGCCAGAATATATAGCGGACAGCGGTAGATAGGGCTGGAGATGGCGGGCGAGGAAGTGCTGATAGTTTATCTCCCTTATCTAATCCTTATGTCAGTTGTCGGCCCTTGCGAATATTACGCCCCATCTTGTCAGCTCTTTTAGCGAATCATTCTTCCTACATGCAATTATGCTAAGGGAATTAAAACGTTACGTTTTTGTTGTTTTTTTTTTTTGCGTGCCGCCCATGTTAATAGACAACCCGTGCTCTACAAGGTTTAATGTGTTACGACTTTTACGGCAAATCGCTCACACGAAATGTTAAATTAATTAAACGTGTCTAAATTAACCCTGCTGTGTAAAGGTAATTAAGGCGAGGTAAGGCTTATTGAAGTGACGTGTAGATCAATGAACGCGGTGGCGCAGAGATAATTGAAATGACGTAGAGATACGCCTAGGAAGGTTTAGATAAATGTAATGTAAAACCGCGTGTTGTATGCCCCAAAGGTGGTGTGGCAGACGTGGTTGTAATGGCCTCTATACAATAGTACTGGATTGTGACGAGGTAGGTTTCAAGGTTTTATAAACTAGGTTATGAAAGTGGATATAAGGTTTACTCAAATTTTTGTATTTAAAATTCTTGGTACCAAGCAAAGTAAGTCCCAGCATACCCCCCCCCCCCCCCCACGGTACCTCCGGCAAGTGTGTAGACTGAGGCCGTGCCAGGCCGGCGGGCGGTGTAAACATGCGCTACTTCACGGCAAATACAGCCGGTAAATATTTGCCCGTCCGGCTCCAAGTGTTTGCTCAATATTTTCTTTACAACAACAACACACGGAGATACACAATAAAGATTGGGGGGGGGGGGGGAGACGGGAGGCATTAAAATGTCAGGGGGGGGGGATTTTTTTAATGCCGTGAAGGTGCCATCGTTTTGAGTGCTAACACTAAAGTTTAGGTCAAGGTAGGGATGGGGGGGGGGTGGTATTTACCTGAGATCTTGACCATTGTCATCCGAGGAGACGTCGTCTATGTGTACTTGATCACACTCCTGGGGATACACCAGAGGGGATACATTAGAATAGACAAGCTTAGTCGACATTATCAACAACAGTTCGGTTAGGACAGCAGGCTAAATACCTAGTTCAGTGGTTAGATTATATAACTCTACACCTAATGGTTGAGTCAGTGGATAGATTATATAACTCTTCACCTAATGGTTGAGTCAGTGGATAGATTATATAACTCTTCACCTAATGTTTGAGTCAGTGGTTAGATTATATAACTCTACACCTAATGTTTGAGTCAGTGGTTAGATTATATAACTCTACACCTAATGTTTGAGTCAGTGGATAGATTATATAATTCTACACCTAATGTTTGAGTCAGTGGTTAGATTATATAACTCTAAACCTAACGGTTGAGTCAGTGGATAGATTGCATAGTTTTACACGTAATGGTAGTCAGTGGTTAGATTATATAACTCTACACCTAATGTTTGAGTCAGTGGATAGATTATATAACTCTAAACCTAACGGTTGAGTCAGTGGATAGATTGCATAGTTTTACACGTAATGGTAGTCAGTGGTTAGATTATATAACTCTACACCTAATGTTTGAGTCAGTGGATAGATTATATAACTCTAAACCTAACGGTTGAGTCAGTGGATAGATTGCATAGTTTTACACCTAATGGTAGTCAGTGGATAGATTGTATAACTCAGTGGATAGATTGTATAACTTAATATTCAAACATTGGTGAGCTGATTGGGGGGGGGGGGGGTCACTCAAATATTACAAAATATGAAATCTCGGGTGTAAGTACCAATGAATCAGTGTTGTATCTTTAAAAATGTGAGCGCAAGCTTATTGCTGAAGATCTCACGTAGACCTGTCTAAAAGAACTGGCTATGGTCTGTTTAAAACAATGATTATCTAGATAACAATTTAATGATTATCTTAGTAAACTGGCTATATAACTAGATACAAGTACGTGTTGTTAAAACATGTTTCACTGAAGGTCGTAGCTATCCAACACTTGGTGGTAGTACATTTTACAGCCATGATATCACAATGAATTACATAACCGCTTCATATGCCAAGGTAAATAGACATATGAACTTCATCTGCCCAATGGATCGCTAGGTCTAAAAAGGAATCCTTATATTTTATACTTTTTTAAAATCACGTTGAATGGAACTTTATTCGAAATTTTAAATCAACCATTTGAATGCTTGTCGTGGCGTAGACCTACACACAACATGTTGGGAGCCCCAGCGGTTCATCTAGATATGACCTCAGGTTGCTGTGACTCTTACAGTGGATACACGTGACCTTTTTCTTTAAGCCGAAGAACATTGTACTAAGGACAGAGTTTCGTAGCGAAATGTTTGAATGGGCGATGCGTGTCTATTGTTTGGAACCTTTTACTGGGAAAACCTTTTCTAGGAAAATCTTTATTAAATCGGTTATTTGCTCAGAATATTTTTTTAAATGTCATCCCCTAACCTAGAAAATATAAACGTAACTGTTATAAGTTATAATGCTATGCGTTTTATAAACAAAAGCGTCGACTCTACAGAGGGTATACGTCGTCGACTATACAGAAGCTAGCGAGCCTGAAGTTGAACACGTCGACTATACAGAAGCTAGCGAGCCTGAAATTGAACACGTCGACTATACAGAAGCTAGCGAGCCTGAAGTTGAACACGTCGACTATACAGAAGCTAGCAGGCCTTGAACACATCGACTATACAGAAGCTAGCAGGCCATGAACACGTCGACTATACAGAAGCTAGCAGGCCATGAACACGTCGACTATACAGAAGCTAGCAGGCCATGAACACGTCGACTATACAGAAGCTAGCAGGCCTTGAACACGTCGACTATACAGAAGCTAACGAGCCTGAAGTTGAACACGTCGACTATACAGAAGCTAGCAGGCCATGAACACGTCGACTATACAGAAGCTAGCAGGCCTTGAACACGTCGACTATACAGAAGCTAGCAGGCCTTGAACACGTCGACTATACAGAAGCTAACGAGCCTGAAGCTGAACACGTCGACTATTTAGAAGCTAGCATGCATTGAACACGTCGACTATACAGAAGCTAGCAGGCAATGAACACGTCGCCTATACAGAAGCTAGCGAGCCTGAAGTTGAACACAGTGCTGACCGTCTAGAGTCAACAGAACCTCCCCGTGCTGCTTATGCAGACATGAACATCTCATTATTATGCCCCGGCTCTCGAGCCCAATTGAGCCGTGTTTGTACAGGGGGCTTGATAAGTTAGGGGCATGACTAGTCATGGCCTCCGCCAGTCTCACAGGCGCGCTCTGGTAAACACGGCGATGCCGGGGTCCGTCTGGCAATTAGTCGATCAATCGCCCGCTGATGTAAAGGGGTCAGTCGGGTGGCCGCTCGAGGGGTGGGGGAGGTGAAGAGGACATGAATGGGTCACTCTTAAATACGTAGAAGGGGTCAGGCGACACGAAATAAAGAGGTTCGGTGGCCTCCATGTGAACTAGCGTGGTTCAGATCGTAACGCGTGAAGTGGGATTAGTCGACATAACACGGTACACGATTGGTCAAGATAGATCAGTCGCCATATTGGGATTCCGATTACTAGTAAAATTTTGTTTAAAAAAAACTGATTATTTTTAACGCTATGTGATAGTTAGTAAATAAAAATAAAAATAAATAAAAAAACCACGCAAGTCCCATGTGATTCGAGTGTTTTGCAACAGCGGTGATATATGTTAAAAATACTTTTATGATGGCAACAAGCAAGTTGCCTACTCTGGCACAATTGTTGAAAGATCGATGTCCTAATTCGTATGTAATTCAAGTGTGATGAGATATTTAATTAGATTAAATTATGTTTAAACAGAATCCTGAACACTTTAAAGATGTTTTAGGTTCTATATGTAGAATTAAATACAAGAGCAAGTAGTAATGTGTTTCGGGTCCCTGGTACGAATGTACAATATGTGCTCGAGTTAGCCGTGGTGATGGTTAGTTGAGGGGCTGTGCATGAAGGTTGACGCTCATTTAAGGATAAGGGGAGGGGGGTGGCAACAGTAATGATAAACTATATCTAGGTGGAGGATAAGAAATTAAAACTGGGACTTTCCTTATGTTTTGTATTTTTAAATATGAAAAACGTTAATTTTCCTAAGTATTATGATAGCGAAAAGTATAGGATCTTTGTGAAATTATATCACAAATAAGGTTTCTGACTTTGAAGGGGTGTGTGCGCAAAGGCACATGGAGCGTTTAAAATAATGTATTGTTATCAAGGGACGAGGACTGTGTGAAAGGCAATGTTGTCAAGATGTGTGGCGATGTTAACTAGGAACAATGAGGTGCGCAGTTAGTAACCAGGTAGACGGCAACAACACTGGCGTGTATACCTGTGAGAAGGTGCAGATGGTAGACCAGGGGTGTGGTGCAGCAAGGTTGATTAAACAATCGTAACTTAGTTAATGAACTTAGTTAATGAACTTAGTTAATGAACTTAGTTAATGAACTTACCTCAAGATCATTGAAAAACAAGTGCGTGTCCGCCAGATTAAAGATGATTTCCTCCATGCGTAATCCCATGGACATCGAACTTTGGTGATCCTGTGGATAGAAAAGATCACCTCATTGTTATTGTTTTTTCTTAAGCTTTGCTTCCATTCTTTCTAAGTTAGCCTACAGTTTATTTCTACAGCCAAGTCTAGTCTTGCCGGGGCTTGAAGCCTGCTCCGAACGCCAGTGAATACATTGCCCGACTTTACTTGTAACCCAGTACGGTGGTGTTTTTTTTCTTCCACTGTCCACACCTGAGCTTTCCGTTGTCTAGGAGACGTGCCCGTTATTTACTGCCCCAGATACTCTTGGGTTCGATACACAACTAACGAGGGGGGGGGGGGGGGGTGTACAGGCACTTCGATTGTTACAAATCCACATTTTTTGACATAAAAATGTATTCACATCTCTTATATTCTGTTATATATGTTATCAGTGTGATTGAAGACAGAGACTTGGCTAAATACGTGGGTACTCATCGTGGACTGTTTCTGTGTTGTGTTTTTACACACACACATACAGAGACACAATTCTGACATCCTATTCGATATGGTATTAAAGGGGGAGGGAATACCGCCTAGCCCCTCCTCCTGCCTTATCTTTGTAACGCCAATGAATGTTGAAAATGAAACATGTATTGCTGGAAGTATTGTTAAACAGTAGAGTTCTAATACAGTTATCATAATACAATTATTTAAACAAATGCTATAAAGTATCACGTGCGTTTTTTCTTCTTCAAAATAGACAAAATTAAATACTAAATTAAAAGAGGAAAAGGGGTGAATTTTTTTTTTAAAGTGTCCATGAAAATTCGTGTTGCAATAGGAAACAGCCACAACAATACTTGTAGTTCTCCTAAAAAAACAACAGCCGCAACAATAGCTGTAGTTTTGCTATAAAAAAAAACAACAGCCACAACAATAGCTGTAGTTTTCCTGCCATACGAGCTGCACACATTGAAATATTTGCTCACACAGCCCCGCGTGTGCAGCGGGACTTTGAAAAAAAAAAAAAAAGAAGGAACCCGAGCCGAGCCGTGACACATGTCCAGTAGGATGTGAGTGGGCGTGTCCGTTCAATCTGGCCGCCAGCTTAATAGATATTGATTAATGGCGCACAAAGACGAGGCCCCTCGGAAGCGTGGAGGGTTTGTGTTTGTACGTCAAACGGTTTGTGTGCTCAAACCATTTGCTTAGAGAATGGATTAGGTCCCGGGCCCTTTTCTTTTCTACCCCCTCCACTGACTAGACTCCCCCACTCCACCGAGCTAGTGAATACAAGACTTGGCAATGTTGGAGTAACGGCCCTTGTAGCGGGAAGTAGATGAACTAGTATGTACACAAGCTCAGCTTCTTCTGCTGGGGCTCGCCCATCTATGTAGGTCGCTTGCATTTCCGGGGAGCGAGGGCACACAAGTAAAGGGGATTTTCCTGGCTAATAAAAAACACCAACACGGGTTGTATTGCTGGGGTCTCCCTCGGTAACTTTATTTAGGGGTGGGAATGGTATTACAAGTGATGGACCAATCACTGATAACACATACACATAAATAAAACGTATACGACTAACTAATAGTCAAAGTTATTTCTATCAAGACCTTATGTACATTGAGGTACATTTTTTCCTCCATGATTATGAGTTTATAGTTTATTCAAACAGAAACATGAACTGGGTTTCTTTGTGATATATTTTTTTTTCCAGGAGTGCACTTGAAACTTCAGGGGTGTGCACTTTAAATTTCCGGGGAGAAGGGATGATACTGGTTAAAGCATTTTATATATTTTGTCCGGGGGTGGTAAACGCCCCCCCCCCCCCCCCCACTCCCCGAGAAACTCGGAATAAGAAACTGTATAAAATAGAAATGGAGGAACATGACGCAGCGTACCTATTAAACTAGACTTACTTTTACCCAGGCAAAACCTCATAAATGTAAAACTGTGATTTAAAAAAAAATCAATGCAAGTAAGGAAAGAAAACATGTCAACAAGGATGGCAACTGATGAACTTTTCGAAACGCTGCCCGTGCGGGTGGGACCTGCGCACACAGATAGTCGAGAGTTAATCAAAGATAACCATCTCATTACTCTGACACGTTGGCTCTGCTGCCCTGTTGGACAAGCGGGCTGGTCAAGTACTGCTTCGTGCCTTCGTCCAGTTCCGTGACACGGAGGGTGGAGGGGGGAGGTAGGGTGGAGTTGAGGAGGGGGGGATACACACGGCAATTCTGTTTGTCCTACGCTTTATCTTCGTATGCCCGGCGTGTCACGGTGGCCGGCCAGATGTCACGTGATTTCTCCTTTGGGCCGGGGTAAGCCCGTGTTTATGCCGGGGACGGGAGGCTCCAAAGGTCAGCGCCTCAACAATGGGGCCCCGCAACAAAAGGGGGAGGGAATTAACTAACAGCGCCGCGATCCGGCACAGACAAAAACCCACTTCCGTGTCAAAAAAACCGCTCCGTCAATAGGGTCAGCCCTAAAAAAAAAAAAGTTCCAGTTGAATAGTGTGGACCAGGTTTATGTCTAGAATAACATCTTCAATTCGGCTTTATCAACTGGAGGACTGGCGTTTGTAGGGTTGTAAAGACTGGAGTACCATCGTGGTTAATGTGAGTAGGATACTCAGTGCTTGCGGTAAAACACTGAACAGCTCGCGGAGAGTGGAGCTAATGACACTGGAGTTTCCGGCAAACGAGACACAATATACCATTCAACTGCCGTATAATATCCCTTTCAGTTTTCAACTTCCGCGCTACAAATATACCTTGCGCCTAATCTCAAGATTAACAATAAACACTTCACAATCCGCACACGATTCTCTTCGCTTTTCGACTTGGCATTTTTTAAAACTATTCTACTACTGCGCATTATTTTAAGGATCTGGATATTAACTTCCGTTATTTAACTACGAGATTTTTATTATATTACTGCACATTATATCAATGATCTTCATATCAACCTGCTCTATGCAAACTAAGAGACATTTTTTGGTACTTTCCTACTACTGCGCAGCATTTCAATGATCTTGATATTAACCTTCTTTATATAAACTAAGAGATTTTTTTTATTACAGCGCATCATATCCAGTGTTTCTTCCAGACTTTTTTCTTCGGGGGGGGGGGGGGGACACACTGTTAAAAGTATATCTATATAAATTATATAAATTTCATTTTGTTTGGGGGGGGGGGGTGATCATATCAACGATCTTACTATCAACCTTCTTTATTTAAACTTCTAGGCATTTTTTGGTACTTTCCTACTACTGCGCAATATATCAATGGGCTTGATAATAACCTTCTTTATTTAAACTACCAGAATATTTTTTTTTTTTACTTTTCTACAACTGTATAAAACACCAATGATTTTTTCTTTCTCCACGACACATGATTTAAAAAAAAAATTAACAATTTTTCAAAAACGTACCAAATCTGGACAAGAAAAATAAAATAGTGCATGCCCAGAAATCTGGAAGGCGGAAAATGCAAAGAAAACATGGGCGCGATAGCATCTGCCCCCGGCGCTAGGCTAATAATGACTTTACCACTGGCCTCAAGCAAAGCATGGTCTGACATTGAGAAGACAGTGTCAAGTGGCGTCTGTTGATTTAACTAATTCACTTCATCTCGTGGAAAAATGGGGACGAGCGTCCATTTTAATGAGCACTCCATGTTCCAACAGGACCTGCTAGTGTAGGTACGGCTAGAATCAATAGAGCCTCTTTCTTTGTTGCTGGCGATGACAAATAGATCTTGAGGGCATACGCCGGAGTCAGGTGCTTCATTCAAATGTTTTGATTCATCAATCAAGGACTTTTACTTCAGAGTTTTTTTATGGTGTTAGTAGTTTGTATAATGTGTAAGCTTTGAGGAGAGGTGTGAGAAAAACTACAACAGATGAGCTCTAATTAGCATTAGAAATGTTGCGCAAAATAATTAAGCTCATATTGGCATCAGGAGCGTTGAGAAAAATATTGAAGCACTGTTGAGCGTTGAGAAATTTTTGAAACTCCGAAGATTATTTAAATTTTGAAGAACGGGTAAAAGCTGTGGTCAGTATTAAATATGACAAGTAAACATAGTTTAGTCCAGAGCCACTTTAGAAGTGTTGAGAGAATCTTTAAGCTCAGTACAGTAACTATTAGAAGTGTTGAGAGAATCTTTAAGCTCTGTACAGTAGAGTATTAGAAGTGTTGAGAGAATCTTTAAGCTCTGTACAGTAGAGTATTAGAAGTGTTGAGAGAATCTTTAAGCTCTGTACAGTAACTATTAGAAGTGTTGAGAGAATCTTTAAGCTCAGTACAGTAACTATTAGAAGTGTTGAGAGAATCTTTAAGCTCTGTACAGTAGAGTATTAGAAGTGTTGAGAGAATCTTTAAGCTCTGTACAGTAGAGTATTAAAAGTGTTGAGAGAATCTTTAAGCTCTGTACAGTATTAGAAGTGTTGAATCTTTAAGCTTTGTACAGTATTATGAGTGTCGAGAGAATCTTTAAGCTCTGTACAGTAAATATTAGAAGTGTTGAGAGAATCTTTAAGCTCTGTACAGTAAATATTAGAAGTGTTGACAGAATCTTTAAGCTCTGTATAGTATTAGAAGTGTTGAGAAAGCAGACAAGCTCTGAGCAGTCCTTAAGACAAATCCCACCACCAAAGCTGCCTAAAGACTCGAGCAATCACGCCGTGTTAGCCGGCATCAACAGCAACAACCGGGGACAGCTGGCAATATTTGCCAATAAAGACTTAACTAGTCATTACATCTGACGATTGAACAACAATATACTGACTCGTGATGGGTGACGTGACCTCTCAGCTATTCCGTTGAGGAATCGACTATCTGGTGTTCTTGGCTAAGCGAGGGTACGGAGGAGGGGGGTGCGACCCCTAAGGGGACGGGGTGTTTAATTATATTAGTAATCCCTGGTGGGAAGCGATGGGCTGGGGTGGGATGAGAAAACGGAATTGCGCCCCCGGGTTGTTCAAACGCTTGTTGTCCCCCGGGATCCCGACTTTTGACAGCAAATGTTTGCGATAATTAGCAAATCGTGTCCGTTTAACTTTGTCTTTTCGACTTGTGTCAGGGATAATTTGCTGAATTGGGCGAGTCTATTCATGACGAAAGACCGTACGGGGGGAGAATTACGGCCAAGATGTGTTACATCTGCTTTGGTCAGGTTTCTTTGTTCTCCGGTCGAACACGCCGGCTGTACAATCGTGGACATTACCGCGTCATTAGACAACAGACCATAGTTTCATTGGGCGTTTTCAATTGGTTTATAGTTTTAAAGTTGTTTATAGTAAAAGAATCAGTTTCATTTTTAGTAGTATTTTAACTAGTTTTATACAAGCCGAAACGCTGAATGTAAATGAAATATTCATCTATATAACTCATTTAAACATCAGTCAGTATAGCATCAATACAAATATTCTACCAGCTAGATGAAAAAATAAACTTCCAGTAGAGCTGAGTATAAAATATTCTACTTGACTAAATAAACTTCCAGTATAGCTGAATATAAAGGAAATGTTCTACCGGCCTAGCTGACTAAATCAACCACCACCATAGCTGAATATAAAGGAAATATTCTACCGGTCTAGTTGACTAAATCAACCACCAGTATAGCTGAATATAAAGTATTCTACCGGGCTAGCTGACTAAATCAACAACCGGCATAGCTGAATATAAAATATTCTACCGGCCTAGTTGACTAAATCAACCACTACCATAGCTGAATATAAAATATTCTACCGGCCTAGTTGACTAAATCAACCACTACCGGCCTAGTCGACTAAATCAACCACCACAATAGCTGAATATAAAATATTCTACCGGTCTAGTTGACTAAATCAACCACTACCGGTCTAGCTGACTAAATCAACCACCGGCATAGCTGAATATAAAATATTCTACCGGCCTAGTTGACTAAATCAACCACCACCATAGCTGAATATAAAATATTCTACCGGTCTAGTTGACTAAATCAACCACCACCATAGCTGAATATAAAATATTCTACCGGTCTAGTTGACTAAATCAACCACTACCGGTCTAGTTGACTAAATCAACCACCAGCATAGCTGCATATAAAATATTCTACCGGCCTAGTTGACTAAACCACTGACCCGCCTAAGGTAGAAAAAAATTCCCTCCGTATCTAGTTACCCGGCTCTAGGCGCCCGTTGTTATATCCAGCAAGGCAGTTCTTGTAGATGTGGAAAAGCTATTAGCTGTCTCCCACCCCATCCCTCCCCCACCGTCCCAACCCCCGGGGGATCCCTACCCACCTCCTCACGTAGCGGCTGTTGTTAAAGGCCTTCCGTTGGCCTGACCGAGCAGAAGCTAACAACGTGTAATACTACACCTCTCTACCCCCACCCCTTTCCCTTCGCTACTGGCTACAGTCTTCGTGCCCCCCCCCCCCCCCCACCAATCGATGACGCCAACTTGCCAGGAAGGCCAGTCCTTATGATTTATGGTGCCCTGGCCACATCAATGCCGCGCATGGCCAGGGCCACCATTAATCAGTTTACTGGGAGTTAAAATCAACACGGCTTTTCAATAATCAACACAAACTCATTCAAAGATTTTAGGTGGTTTTTTTTTGTAAAGGTTCAACTATTGTGTGTCAGCCCAAAACAACCTGTACAGATGTAATATTTGGTTACACTACTGGTGAACATGGTTTGTTTTATTGCTAACATCAGCTACTGGACGCATTTTTAATATATTAAGTATTGTTCCCCTCTATCTGTATCGCGGATGTATTTATTAACTTCCACACACACATTATATATATATATATATATATATATACAAAATTTTAATTAAGGGGAATGTTTAGGCTTTTAGAAAATTAGATTTTCAACAGATCGTGAGCGGACATACATACCCACACACACACACATATATATATATATATATATATATATATATATATATATATATATATATATATATATATATATATATATATATATATATATGTATATATATATGTATATATATATATATGTATATATATATATATGTATATATATATATATATATATATATATATATATATATATATATATATATATATATATTCTAAGCAAACTATTTTGTATAACGACAAGGGACAGAATACATTATATTGACACAGCAAGATTTTAAAAAAAAAACGATTACACATTAGCATACATAATAATACAGCCGAATCACAATATATATATATTTAAAAAAAAAGAAGCCCGATTGTAGCGAAGTATGATATATAAGTCCCCAGTCAGGAGAATTGAGGCCCCTGAAGCTACCTCCACTGAAGGAGAATGCCAGGAGGTCAGACTGGGGAAGTCGATCATTGCGCCCGTGCCCATGGGAGGAATAAAACGTGAAACCTGAGCACCTTCATGGCCCGACACGCCCGACATATTCATTTCCTTGCTCATTTCCTATAATCTATTTCGGGAGCCTTGCACATGGCTTAAAAGGCCCTATGAGATTTTGGTCTCTTATGAAAATAAACATTTTATAGGATATATTGTAAAAGTAAGGATAGACAGAATAATGTACAGTAAACTGCGGGAATAAACGGCAGCCAACATGTCAAGGAAAAGGTCAAGATTTTTTTTTTTTAAATATAGGGATTAAACTTGGCTAAGCTAGGATTACCAGCTTATAAAATACGACACTTGGATACGAGGGTTGGGTGTGGGGGGGGGGGGGAAGATTGGAGAGATACTTTCAAACAGAATACATTAAAGATGGTGCTTGCTGCAGTGTGCTGGGCCCCCTGGGGACCCAGGGGCATCAGTGTGTGTGTAGGGGGGTGTTGAATACCTGAGTGTGTGTGGGAGAGAGAGTGTGTGTGTGCGTGTGTGTGCTGGTCACGTGACATAGAAAAACTAACATGTTAATGATGCGAGCCCAAAGTGAATCAATACTGAGTCAACACCAGATGCTGATGTCACAAGAACAGTTCCTGGACACAACTGGTCGCCAATCGATAGTCACGTGCCTGCATCCGCGCTGCCTCTATGGCTGCACGGGCTAATCCAGTGGACATGACGCTAGATGATACAGGCTAATCCAGTGGACATGACGCTAGATGATACAGGATAATACAGTGGACAGGACACTACATGATACAGGCTAATCCAGTGGACATGACGCTAGCTGATACAGGATAAGGCAGTGGACATGACGCTAGCTGATACAGGATAAGCCAGTGGATATGACGCTAGATGATACAAGATAATCCAGTAGACATTAGGCTAGCTGATACAAGATAATCCAGTGGACACGACATTAGCTGCTACAAGATAATCCAGTGGACAAGACGCTAGCTGCTACAAGATAATCCAGTGGGCATTAGATAGCTGCATCAATCTACTTGACGCTAGCATTAATTAGACTACTGACGATAGCAACAAACTACTTGACGCTAGTATCAAACTACTTGACGCTAGCATCAAACTACTTGACACTAGCATCAATCTACTTGACGCTAGCAACAACTACTTGACGCTAGCATCAAACTACTTGACGCTAGAATCAAACTACTTGACGCTAGCATCAAACTACTTGACGCTAGCATCAAACTACTTGACGCTAGCAAAAATCTACTTGACGCTAGCAACAAACTACTTGACCCTAACAACAAACTACTTGACGCTAGCATCAAACTACTTGACGCTAGCAACAAACTACTTGACGCTAGCATCAATCTACTTGACGCTAGCATCAAACTACTTGACACTAGCATTAATCTACTTCACGCTAGCAACAAACTACTTGACGCTAGCATCAATTTACTTCACGCTAGCAACAAACTATTTGACGCTAGCAGCTTTGTACTACTTGATGGACGAGTGTTAACCCCCCCCCCCCCCCCACACACACACATACACAAACAGATACAAACACACACACCCTCCCCCCCCCCCACACACACAAACACACACAACACACACACAGACAGACAGACACACACACACACACACACAAACACACACAACACACACACACACAGACAGACAGACACACACACGCTGACGGGGAATGCTGAAACCACTTACCTTGGTGTACCTGGTGGCGTAGGAGCCAGTCAAGAGTGAATGGAAAATGATAATGGTCTCATCAAGATCCCAGACAAAGACACGCTCCAAATCAGATTCGGGGCCAGGTGACGGTTGGGTTCTGCTCCTCCCCCTTGACCTTGAACCTCTCTGCCCTGATAAAGAAAGGTCAGAAACGCTAATCAAGATCTGGGAATACAACGGTCCGTCCGTCTATAAAAAAAAACAAGCACGGTCTTAAACATGATGGAACAGTCTAGGGAAACAGGCAGCGGATTAACATTAAATCTCAAATTTGACACTGGGTTTATTTGTTTGCTTTATAAAGATGGTATACTCGGACAATGGATGAGGGCTGTGCTGTCTGTCTACAATGAGCCATATGTAAAAGGTATCTCAATGAAAACGTAACGCACTGTGAGCTAGTTTGACCAGAAGAGATAGATTAGAACAGTATTCAGACCTACCCCCCCCCCCCCTCACACACACACCTACACTAATCACCTGCTGCACATACAGGCATACATATGAATAAATGTCCAACTTGCCAGGAAAAAATGCTACCAAAACAAAAACAATGGCATTGCCATCACTAGATCTAAACAAAAAATCCGAATGTGAAGTGTTTAAATAAGTACTAAGTAGAGTTACAGATTGTCTTAGTAAAAAAAAAAACTACTCTCTAGTACTGTAAGGGTGATACGTTTATTTCACACAATACACAAGTAGTATATTAGGTCCCTTTTGGAGCGAAGGCGCAGGCGCTGGGTGAGGTGGAGCAGGAGCAGGAGCAGGAGCAGGAACTAAGGCTATATAGTAAAATACTCCCCCAGCCTGGTACAATGACATATAGCAAAATACTCCCACCACCAGGCGCAGCCTGGGTGAGCCTGGTACAACGAGATATAGTAAAATACTCCCTGGGGGAGCAGGAGGTACACCGACATATAGTAAAATACTCACCCAACTGGGTGAGGGTGGGTGAGCAGGCGGCGCAGCCTGGTACAATGAGATATAGTAAAATACTCACCCACCTGGGTGAAGATGGGTGAGGGTGGGTGAGCAGGCTGGTACAATGAGATATAGTAAAATACTCACCCACCCTACGGTGGGTGAGCAGGAGGGGGAGTAGGTCAGTAGGTCACCACCGGTGACCTTGTGACGTAATCAGTGACCTTGTGACGTAATCAGTGACCTAGTTACGTAATTTTAATGCGTTTTTTTTAAATTAGTTTGACGTAATTAGTGACTTTGTGACGTAATTAGTGACTTTGTGACGTCATCACTGACCTAGTTACGTAATTTTAATGCGTTTTTAATTAGTTTTAATTTAATTTTTAAATTTTAATTAGTTTTTTAATTAGTTACGTAATTTAATTACTTTGTTTGTGTTTTGTTTGTTTAATTTGTTTGTTTACTTGTTGTTTAATTTAATTACTTTGTTTATATTGTGTAATTTTTATTAACGAGTTACGTAATTTGATTATTTGTTTACTTTTTTAATTATTTTTATTTTGTTTATTTTTAATTTAATTTTATTTTATAATTAGTTAAATTATTATTAACTAGTTACGTAATTTGATTTTAATTACTTTTGTTTATTTATTTATTTGATATATTTCTTTTCTTTGTTGTTTAATGTTGTTTATTTATTTGAATGTATGTATGTTTTAAATAAAAGACTAACACTAGCATGTACTAGAACAGTCTTTGTATAGGGACCATTCTCCAACACAACGACCGTGTACAAAAAACAGGTTAAAGTCTCCACCACAACGCTAAAGTATACAAACATAGAACATTCATTAAAGATAACGATCAGCCACAGCTGTTACGTATCGACCCGCCCGCGAAGTTTTCTCACCGCTGCCCGTTTTAATGGGAATGTATTGATCGCAGCCGCTGGCCCATCACACCTAATTAAATTTTTTGTTATGCTTCACCGAGTTTCCCCCGCTCGGTTGACAGCTGTGCAACAGCTGTTGTGCGACAGCTGGTGGTGTAATTAGGTTGAGCAACCGGACATTACCTTGTTGGTTTTCTAGTACGCGTATGCTACACGTATATACACACACACACACAATCACACTAAATTAGAACAAAAGTCTTCTTATATTTTATTTGTTTATTAACGTTTTTCCAATTCATCAAAGGCTTTTAAAATTTCATCCTGTAAACTCAACAGGCGCTCAAAGCAGACGCGACTCATACTAACACCAGAATTTGTAGGAAAATTAAGATCGGTCCCATCTATAAGCTCTCTAAGATTTAAAGTGTTTTTGTTCATGAATTGGCTAACAATCGCCAATTTAAATCCGGTGTGATTCATCGTTCGTATTTCCGTCACTTTATTGTTACTCCTGGCCACAAGTATCCAATCTTCATTAGACATCTTGAAATAATCTTTTATAATTAGTTCCAATAATTTGAAGTGTTAAACGTGTTATAATACGATCGTTAATATATTGACGACTCGCTGACGCCGAAAAGGGTTGTAATATAACTTTTAAATTTGCACCACGAGCTTTCTTCAAAACAAAATAGGCTGCATATAACCCGCAACTGTTGGTTCGAATATCTTGTAACACTCTTGAATTGTAAACGAGTGGTCTGTTTGAGTTATTTTTTATAAAAGACAAAATGGCCGGCTCCCGAGGTGGTAAGCCAAAACTATCGAAATAAGTAAATTGGGATAGTCCGTTGAAAAATAGACCAACCCAATGACTCCCTGCCTCCGAGGACGAATCTAGATTGATAATGAATGCCGCTTGCTTCGTTCTATCGAGACGCGCGGGTAACTGATCGCACGCTAAAACGGCAAAGAGAGTTGTGCGTTGCACAAATAAGTCCGCGGCCAGTATACTTTGTAGTTCTCTTGTGTTCATTTTCTTTTATAGGCCAAGTTAGGCGGTGTAATCTGTCAGCACTTGCCTCGTTTTCGAAATTTCTAACACCGAATCAAGTTCAGCATACACAATAACTTGAATCGGGTCAGCTGTAACTTGTGAAAATTTAAGTTCAATAGAAACAGGTCCGGATTTAGCCAATTCAAATTGTTCACCATCCAAAAGACTAGGGCTTAAATCAAAAGCAAACAGGGTATACCCGTTCTTAAAGTTTTTATAATCTATCCCATTCCCAGCATCTTTTCCAACCATACCAAGAGCGAGGTTACTATTGAAAAACGCTCTAATGGCTTGTTTCTTATCAAAGTCCATGACCAGTGGTTTTCCCGATAACGAGCGACCATCAACGCTTACATTTAAATACGTCAAGTGAAAATGTTGAAAATTGAAGGGGTTTTTCGTGTAACTTCCATTAAAGGCGGTAGAGGCGACTAGACCGATCACTAAACGGGTCGGTGTTTGACTCATATACAAATTGTCTTGGTTGTGACTTAACATACCTTTCGGTATAGCAAAGGTTTTTATTACAACGCGTTTAAAAGGGTATTTTGCATTTGTTGTCGTTAAAGCCTTTTCGTGTGCGATAGAAATGGCGGGGTTAAGTCTGGCTTTTCTAACCACCAATGTTGCGTACGTTATAACCGCTTTATATCCCTTGTTTGGTTCTGCTGTCAAGAGAGTGAAACTGTCTTTTGCGGGTGTAAGTTTAATTTTAATGTCAACACCATTCAGCATATACCGATCTTGAGCGAAAATGTCAGAGTGTATACGTCCCATCATATCGATCTCATGACTTTCAGCAGCGGTGGTGCGGCGAATCCTATACCCTTCATTATTATCATCTTTGAATTCCTCGAAATAACAGGCTAAGTCCCTCGCATAAAGAGCGGCCGATAGAGACCCATTCTTGGCCTCTTCCCCGTGATTTAACGTAGCTTCCAGATAGGCGCGATACGGATAGGTGTTCTCACTAGCAGTAATTAGCGTATCGTTTAGAGAAATATCCACTTGTGAAAATAAACTGTGCAAAAAATAATTGACGGGTGCGACATCAACGTCCGCTGGTATTGAATCACCATTCGCTAAGGTTACTTTAGCGCGCACGTGTAAATAAGTATTAAACAAATCGAGATAGTCTTCACTGTTGCCAGAAATGGCAAATTCTATAGGTGCACCTTGTGCCAAGGACGCCAGGGGATGTATTTCAACAAATTGACCCTCCTCGACGGCAGTTTGTGTCGGGGGTGTACTAAATAAATCCAATCCAGAATGTAAGCACTCACAGGAACTCGGGTGAATAAGAGCCATGGTTAAGCAAATATATCTGAATACTTGGGATGCTTCTTCTTAACACACGTCTTCGAATGTTTGTGGTTTGGTCTGCGTGTTAGTTTTATCTGTTGTTCGAAGGGTTCACCCGGTGGTCTCGAGAACCCCCGCTTTCTTCTCAACCCGCTTCCTGATTGGTTTTGTCCTAGGTGATCAACGGCGCCTTGCAATAAACGATGTCCGGCTTCCTTGGCGTGTTCTTTAAACGATTCTCCAACGTCTCTTCCCGCTAATGCGTCGTTTGCAACTTGCAACCCGGTACTAACACCTTCTCTGAGTAAAGCCTTACCTCCCGTCTTTATCCAAGGGAGGACCATTCGACCTAGACCACTAAAGAAACTACCAATACCGTGTCCTCTCTGATTTCGTCCACCGATAAAAACGGGTAAACCATCACCGTACTGGTTACAGTAAAAATCCTCGTACAATTTAGGGTTTCGATGTAAAAGTGTGTGTTTCACCATGGTGTGAGTTATTCGAGATCGAAATGTTTACGTGTTCTAAAATGGAGTGTCAACACCGACGTTCCACTTGTGAATGAGAGCGTTTGTCCCAAGTCATCGCATAAAAGTATTTCCACAGTGTCGAATGAAAAGCGGTTCAGGGGGATGTAGTGTGGTTTGTCGTAAATACGAAAAACGGAACTTGTGTTCTTCTCAACGATCGGTACGGTTCGAAGCAAAGGGACCATGACATCACCAACCGGTCTCGTTTTTACGAGGTCACAATAGACGAATACCGTTTTTACTTCGTCTTCAGGGAGATGTTTCTCCCTAACTCTACCAGGAATATGTAAATAGCCTGTCAACCTGTCACGGATGGTACTTTCTATTCCAGCCGCAATTACTTTTACGACAACTTTCTTAAATCCCTTGTTACAGTTTGAAATTATAACTTCCACTTTTTGTTCATCAATATCT